GCCCTATGCCAGGAGGTCACAGGGAAAGCTGGGCTCCAGGGTGGGTATGACATTCCTACTGCACTTGCTGCCCCATGGTACTCCTCCCATGTGGTAGGTACAATGTGCAGCTAACATGCCCCCCATGCCCAGAACAGGCACAGCTGCTTTCCCCCCACACAAACATACCCTGACTATGGATCCCCTCCCCCTGACTCATCCAGCCCCCAGCACATGCAAAGACCCCATGGTTGCACTTACCTGAGGAACTAGGAGCAGCGTCAGCAGGAGCAGCAGCCTCTGGGCTCTGGGGGTCTGCCACACTGGCCTCATCACTAGAGAGGGACCTGTGCTTCAGCACCCAGTCCAGGGCACGTCCTGGCTCAGTGCAAACTGGGCAGATCAGTGCAGCACCTCCTCTGTGTCTCTGCCACAGCAGGACTGTTCAGGGGTTCCTGTTACTCCTTCTCTGAGATCACAATGGTACACCTGGCTTCAGTGAAACCCCTGACCCTAGCTTCTTTTGCTCTCTTCTCCACCTGAGCCTTCTCCTGCACCCTTTGGCTAGCTTAGCCCCTCAGGTCCCACTTTGCTTTGCCATGCTCTTTCTCTCTTTCCTGTCCTGTGCCTTACCTGGCCCCTTCTCTGTGCTCTGCTCCACCTGACTCCCACGCTGCCAGCCCCCACCCTGCCCACCTGGAAAGCCCCAGGTGCTCTCTCCAGCCACTCCCTTGCTTCTTTCCCTGGGCACTGGCCCTGGCTCCACTTCCCTGCCCAGCTCCAGTCGATCTCAGTCTCTCCTAGATTCTGCATGTGACAGCTCCTGTATCTGGCAATATTACAGGCTCCACCCTCTCTCCCCCCTCCTCACGAGAGAGGCTGGACTCACAGAGCAAGAATGGGGCATCTCTGGAGCTACATGGCTCCCTCAAGGGCCTGCCCTCCCTTCTCCCCAAAGCTCCCCAAGAGGCAAGGTCCTGAGTCTTTCCTTACTGCCCTTGCATGAAACAATGCTTTTCCTGGTAATTAGGGCTCCCAGCTGAGCTCTCCCCTGACCCAAGCAGCAGGTGCTGGGATGGTGAGCTCTCCCCTAGCCTGGTGTTTTGATAGGTACCAAAGGCACCTATACCCCAGCAGTTGAAAGCCATGTGGAGAGAGAACGCAGCAACAGGGATGGGGGTATGCAGGCACACAGAAGGCTATACCCTCTGACCTGTGTAGGAACCATGGGAAAAGCCAGTACATACAGGGATTCTCTCCTGGCAGTACCTATGTGGCACGTGGTAGCATCAGGCTGCAGCTGGGATGGTCCCATCTGTGTGGAATCTGGAAGGATCAGATAGGGCCCTAGGATTCTCCTCTGGGATAAGGAGGAACTGATGCCATGGAGCAGCTGTCACTTATGCAAGGCTGAACCCAGGACCTGATTTCTCAGCTTTATTCCTGGAGAACCTCACTGGTTTTACTGGATTGGCTCAGAACCGGTGAAGCACAGGGGAGAATCCTGTTTTTCTGTTAGCACTGTAGGAGCCTCTACAGCCCTGAGCAAGACTGAGGACCTAAGGGCCAGGTGCTGTACAAACACATACCAGAACTGAATGTGGGGGCATTGCTGCTGGCACTTTTCCAAACCTATCAGCCCAGGCCCTGCCACAGCAGCTGTTTGGAGCACCAGAACTTCCCATTACCAGATGTGCCACTGTCTATTCTTCCCTTGGCTTTAAGATTGATGTTGAGGAGCTACAAACAAGTGTTTTGGGATAAAGCTGGGCCCTGCCTCTGAGAGTTTGTAGTCTAGCCCTATATTATGCAAAAGCATGGGGAAAATCCAGGTATGTGCTAGGCTGGAAATGTCAAGTGCAGCAACCTTAACTCTGCCCTCATCCCCTGCCATTCTCTGGGCTCTGTGCATCACAGCTGTTAACACAGCAGGTCTTGGGTTCTTTGGCTTTGAACCCTACATATACCCAAGAGATCTGGCAGATCATGACATCTTGGACTTGGTACTCTTTTTGGCATCCTGTCTACCACAGTCAATACAGGAACATAGGACTGTAAATGACCCTAGGACATTGAGCCTAACTTTGTGTTGACAAGTGACCATTGGTCCAAAAGTGTTCACTCACAAAGAAATGCACTTTCCTCCCTTGCACAAAGCACCCAACAGGAAAAGCCTACCACATCCCACTGGAAGATGGCTCGTAAGATAAAGGCACAATAATTACGTAGGCCAGTGCAATGGCAGGAAACGTGTTCAAAAATATATGCTCAAATGATCTTACAAAGTGGGCTGTGCCCCAGGCTACAAAGAATGTTCTTACTGTCCTGGGCCAGGGAAAATTTCTTCCTGACCGTAAAGCTAGTGATCTGTTGGACCGTGTGTACATAATCAAGATATGCTAGCCAGGCGTTTGAGGGTCTGCTTAATACCCTGTAGTAGGGATGTGCAAAGCTTCAAGCGCTAATTCGATTTGGAGGAGATTCAGCCCGATTCAGTGGCCGAATCTCCAAATCTGAATCGAATCAGAGGACCAATAAAAAGGTCTGAATCAATTTGGAAAGCTTTGACAATTCGGGCAGCCTCCAATTGCTGCAACAGGGAGCTGGAGCCGGACTTGGAGCCGGTAAGTAGGGGGCAGACAATGAGGGGGGCAGAAGGAGGGGGGAGGGGACCATGGGGCCCATTACTCTGCCAGGC